ATCATACTGATTATATTGGTGCCCTTTCATTTGTCCTTGTTTTAACTAACCTATCTATTTTATTGTTGTGTATGATACACCTAATTACCGACCATATAAATATTTGGTCGGAAGACATATTAAGAAATTGAATCCAGAGACTGCCTGACTGCCCTTTTATTTGTGCAGGAACAGTCTTCCCAAGTTTATACCAAACTAACTGTAAATATATTATAAGAATTATTCCACGCGAGGACCACTCTTTGTTTTAATTATATATATATATATATATATATATATATATATATATATTGATGCATGTTTCATTAAATAATATAGACAAGTTTTGCTTTGAAATTTTTCATGTAACAAAAAAAGACTATTATTATTGTTTCGTCCGTGTATTGGTTGATATATTGAAATGTAATTGTCATCTTTGATAATGGCTTATGTAAGCCGAAAGCTTAGATAGGATTTAAACATGTATCAATATGGTGATTTCCTTTTGTCTTTCAATGATAATATTATTAAGCTTATCAGACAATATGAAAGGAACTTACTTAAAATAAATACACAAAACTTGTCTATATTATTTAATGAAACATGCATCAATGAAACATAGCTGACTATATATATATATATATATATATATATATATATATATATATATATATATATATGGAGAGAGAGAGGGAGAGAGAAGGGAATGTGTGAAAGAGGAGAGAGAAACAGAGGGTAAAAGATAACTAAACAGGAACAGAGTGAAAGAGAAAGAAATATGAACAGAAAGAGAAATATTAATGGCAGAGAGAAAAAGAAAGAGTAACAAAGGGAGAGTAAGAACTAACGAGAGAGAATAACAGACAGGGTGGAAGAGAGAGAGAGACAAGGGTAAAAAGAAACAGATGTATGGAGAGAGAGAGAAAGAGAGAGAGAGAGGGGGGGAGAGAAAGAGAAGGAAAGAAACACACACATATATGTAGAGAGAGAGATAGGGAGACAGAGAGACAGTTGGGTGGGTAGAAATAGAGAACAGCCCCCAAGGAGTATGGTCATCGCCATTAAAAAAAAAACATTTACATAGGTTTATATTTTCTCATTCTAAATTCAAAGACGAAACTTAGAGAAACATATTTTAGATATAAGACAAGATGCAAACATGTACATAAAAGCCAATATGCAAACATGGAAAGACCAAATCGTGTTTATACACTTGCACTGGGACATACTAGAGTGCACTCTTGCAATACACACGTTCACATGGTTTTAATGTATAATTGCATTGTCTTCTGGGCGGAGAGACGACAATTCAGACGACAAATCAGACGTCTACCTTTCCAGGCCAAGCATACAAAATACACAGAGACGTAGTAAAAACACAGTGACACAGACATACACATAGACACACTCACACACAAATACACGTCTGACGATAATTTACATCAACTCTATGTTCGTGTGAATAATGTTGTCAAGTCACGAAAAATTGATAAAGAATTCTAACGACATTTTTATGATAAAACTATAACAAATTTATGTGATAGGACGATATTAAACTGACATATAAGAAGATTATATTATAAAGTTATATGAAAACTTCAAAGTTGTATGAAAATGTTACAGAAGATTATATGTGTTTGTAGAATGTTTAATAGTACCCAAAACAAAAGTGAAGACGATAAGACAAAGTGGAAAATTCATTAACGACGCGTGTCGACCGAGAAACGTATGCTCTCTTTGGCTTGCTCAGGTTTTAATGAAAGAAAGGCAAAACTGCGCGTGAGGAAAATACCTTGGGATCTTTGAGGATAAGTGGGTATCATAAATCAAATTAAATTATGCTATAATACGATAAGCTAAGGTAATTTCCTTAAAGTTTTGTCTTTCTGTCACTCTAACGTGAGGAAACCAAAGAGAGCCGGCGCTCTCCGTCGAAACGCGTCGTTAATAAAGTTTCAACTTTGTCTCATCATCATCCAAGAAGATTATATAAAACTTCATATGATAAAGCTGAAGTTATTGAATAAAGTATATGATAAAGCTATAGAAACGTTGAAGCCATATGATAAAACGTTAATACTATATGAGAAATTAACTTTTATGACGAAAGAAAAGTTTATGACAAATTCGAATAAAGTTATATGTTAAGAAGAACATTATACGCTAATATTATATGAGAAATTTAAATATGACGAAGTTATATGATGAGATAGATGTTTATAAGATAAATTGATATGATAAAGAAGTTGTATGATAAAACTTAAGATAAATCTATGGGATATTATCTGGTAAAGTCATATGATAAAACTATGTACTAATAATATTTGATAACATGGTAGAAATCATACGATGAACTTATGACATTTGTATATTAAAGATAGAATATGAATATCTTTATCGTCTATGTGCAAAATTGAGGAGGATTTCTTTTAATCATTAAATACGAGTAATTGCATGCGTCTTCCTGTGTCAAAGGTGGTGAATATTTTGGAATGTGTGTGAAACAATGTGCGTGTGTATTTATTCAACTAAATACTTGTATAGGCAGTACATATATGCGCACGACCGAGGGATGCTGTGGATTTCTTTTCCTTTATAAGTATATTTTAGTCAATTTTATTCAGATTCATTTCCTTTTTGTTTCCATCACTTTTGTTATTAGATATCCCACAGTGTGCAAAAAAAATTAAATTTAAAATTCACATCATCCTTATCGTTCGGGTGGATGTGTAGTCAGACCAACGTAAACATATTTTATCCGATGGAGTTCTAAAGTATGAAACGCGTTACAAGAAAACACTTTTCCGCTTTGTCATATATATATATATATATATATATATATATATATATATATATATGCATGTATGTATATATATATATATATATATATATATATATATATAAAGTGAATAAGAGTTTATAGTCAAGTGTAAGGGAATTATATATATACGCAAGTGCATAGAGAGAATATATATAATCATATATACTGTAAATGAGCGGGCATATGACTTTCAAATATCACATGTGAGATTTACACGTTTCCAAATAATGACGCAGCTATATTGAAGCTTTGGCACTAGACACACAGACTTAAACACACGCATATGCACACAGACAAACACAGACTCACACACAGAAAAACATGCACAGACACACACTCACACACACGCAGAAAGGGCGAGTCAAAAGAAAACTAGCAGACAAATGTTATGACGCCGTTTGCATGTGTTTAGATGTGTGAATAACTAAAAGTTGGTTTTCTCATTAACCGAACTGATGACCTGTGTATTCATGCTCGTGAGAGAGAAATGGAGAAATGGAGACTACACTTACTCACTCTCATATATATATATATATATATATATATATATATATATATATATATATATATATATATATATATATATACCAATGATGAAGATATAGTTTTAAAGTAGGCTATATTTATGGATAAAAGTGCTTAATTTCAGGGATAGAGCATATGTAAAGACATATGTGGAGACTGAAGTCAACACCAAGTCTGTTTCATGCTTGAACACAATTTTCAGGCCTGTATATTGTGTTCAAGCATGAAACAGACCTTGTTGTCAGTTGGTATTGATCTCAGTGTCCAATTATCATAATAAGTGGGCAAAGTTGAAAAATATTACTTTAGAAGAAACGTAATGAAAGTGCACTAATTGAGAAGGAGGAGGTGGGGGAGGAGGAGGAGGAGGGGGAATTTCAAGAGCATTGAATCAGTAGGGAATTAAATGAAATATACATAAATGAAATATCCCACGTCAAAGAAACTCAAAGGCAACTTTTTAGCATGTATACAACGGACATAAATTCCGATATCTGAGTCAAAAAAGGATTTTCCCAATACTCAATTTTCAAAAAGTTTTTTTCTATACTTAATTTTCTAAACATAAAAGTTCTACTAAATTGTATCTTTTTATATGTGTATTGAGCACTTTTTAATACTACTTTTTTTTCTGATCTAAATCAGCTCTGACCATTAACTTTTGTATTATATATAATATATATATATATATATAAAACAAGTACAACATTTATTTTTGCAATTAGTTTGGTTCCTTGAGAAAATTTATGAATGACGTGCTTCGCGGATGTCTGTTAAAAATTCATAAAAAAAAACACAAAATATCTTTGTAGTTTCACTGGGCTGATTTAAAATCCGACACCAACGGCTGTAACATATATATATATATATATATATATATATATATATATATATATATATATATTATATATATATATATATATATATATATATATATATATATATATATATATATATATACACACAAAAAACAAACAATTTCTGATTTCTTGTCGTCAGATCTGATAAAGTAATTTAATTTATTGCCCCCCTCTTTAGCTAAAAAATGCCAACGCATTTTCCTCGCGCAGATTTGTTTTTCATTGTGACCTGAAGAAGCTGAGATCAACAGACGTCGGTGAAACATGTCGTTTATTTTCCACGTTGTCACATCACCTCCACTTATACATCCTACGACACACACACACACGCACAGACATATATATATATATATTTATAAAACATTAGTTCTGTTTTTTTTTTAAACACTGAGCACTTTTCAAATTTGACAATCTTAAAATCGTTCATTTTTTTCAAACATTGTGCACTTTTTATTTTTACTCACACACACACACACACACACACACACACACACACATATATATATATATATATATATATATATATATTTTTCTGAGTATGTGTGTATTTAACTGTGTCGATATTTAAATCAGTCTACCATTCCCCCCCACACACTTCATGATCGTAATTTTGTCAACGTATGCATATTTGATTGCGTGTATTTATATTCAGTTCCGTTGTGTGTGCGCACATGTGTACTCAACTGTGTTTGAGTGTGTACCGACCAACGCCTTCCCCCTTCATTTACTGGATGCAGGCCGATTAAACGAGGAGAAATAGTCGCTTCCAAAATGGTTTTTCAGGCCAAAAATTGTCTCACCGTCTGCCTACTTACATGGTTGTGCCTCTCCGATGCGCCGTTCGCCCGCTCCTCTCGGGCAAATGTCTTCTGCCCTACTGGCCGGGCATTCCCATGACCCGTCCTCCTTACAATCGCAGTAGTATCGGTAACATCCATCAGTAAAAGAGAACGGAAGCCCCAGGGTGTAATGTCTGCCCTTAGCCTCGCACGCAGAGGCGCTCGTTCCTATTGTGATTACTTGGCTTTTGGTGTAGACTGCAAAAGAGGAAGAAAAAACGATATATATATATATATATATATATATATATATATATATATATATATATATATATATATATATATATATAAAGGGTAAGAGAGAGAGAGAGAGAGAGATAATCAAATACATAAATAAAGCTCTAGTTAAAAATTAGATTTTACGTACCGTGTCCGATGTAGAGACAGAGAAGAACAGTTTCGAAAAAAATGAATTTCAGTGACCTCTTTCAAAAATTGTTTGTGCTCGCACGAGTCTATAAGTACAAATTTCCCAACCGTGGCCGATCCTATGACCTAGAGTGTCGTCAAGGAGCCATGTTTGGTCCTTGATTGATATTGTCAGGGTTACTTGGCAATGCACATCTACGATGCTAATAATATGTGACAGATGGTACGTGTTCACATGGTCTCTGTAAGAAAGATAAATCCCTCACCAACCATGCCAGTGACAAGACCATTATGAATATGTATCCTGAATTTAAATCCCGTATTCCTAGCTCTATTTGACCCCCACCCCTATATATACAAAGATATATACTAAACTTAGCGAGTACATTATAAAGGAGTTTCCACCCTGCTTGGGTTCGCCTTCCTTTCATGTTATGCAGGGTGGGAAGCCTTTACAGCCAGCTTGACCTCTAACTCCAACAGAAAGGCTACAATATACGGAAGACGTATATCTATGCAAAAAACATTTGATAAAGCCTGAGACAAAAGATTTATTTGAAGTGCTAGGAAAACTTGATTTATTTGGAGAATATATTAAATTAATCCAGAATTTATATCGGAAGCAAACCGCCTGCATGCGGGCAGAAAAAGATTTAATTGCTCAAAAATAGAAAGGATCGTCAGGCAGATTCATCTTCTCACCGAATTATCGTTACAGTGTGGTAATCCTAAAAGAACTAAAAGTCTTATTATTTGCACAATCTTAACAACATAATATACGCAGATGATTCCGTGTTGATGAAAGACACAAAAAAGAAAACTGCAAGAACAAGGTGGTAGCAAAGGAAAATTGGAAGAAAAGACTAACGATCAATTGTAAAAGACACAATTGATGGTCATCAGCAAGAGAAAGCCTTGAAAACTCTTCTCTATTAAACATCTGAGAGAACCCTCTCTGCCTTTTATCAGTATGGCTAATGCTGACCTCCAGGAGAATGATTTGCTGCTCCTTCTTGCGATAACGTTCTCGGCTGATTTGAAGTGGAAAGACGATATTTAATCCATTGCTAGGTCAGCTGCTAAGAAGGTTGGTTCACTGTGTCATGAGTGACAATTTTTCTCTCCAGAATCTATCTTACATGTCTATGTCTACCATTCGTCCATGCTTAGAACATTGCTGCCGCATTTGGTCAGGTGCTCCTATTCACCTTGAGACTTTTCAAAAGATCCAAAGAAGAATCTTTGCAATATTATTGGTCTTGATCTGGTGGCTCGGCTTTAGTAACTTTTCCACCGCCGTAAGGTTGTCTCCCTTTGATTTTCTATAAATACTTTCATGGTGATTTTTTGGATGAGCCCTTCGCTATGGTACCTAGACTCTTTGAATTTAAGTGAAGTACTAGACTGATGATGAGGTCTCACCAATTTACATTTGGTTGGCTGGATGTAACCGTAAATCTTTTTCTAACTCTACCACATTCAGTAACTTCTTTTGTCTCAGTGGATTTACTACTTTGATCGGGGTGAACACGAATACAAAAAAAAAAAAAGGAATAACCCAAGATTCGAACTACGAATTAAAAACATCAAAATGAAACTAGCACGGCACTTTAAATAGGTAGGAGGTTTTAGAACAGATGACGAAAATATGACACCGAAATCCGAAGGTCCATACAAAAGGTAAACAGCAGTTAAGAAATGACAATATGATGTCGTTAGGAATAAAGAAAAGAATGCTAAACTGCTATGTAATATAAATCCATCTATACAGTAGTGAATGCTGGACAATTTTCTTAAATATGAAGAGAGAAGAGGGAGCAATGGAAGTGTGGCTCTACAGAAGGATGCTGAGAATACCATCGACTGAACATATAGCAACAGGTTCTCACCTTATTTGCTTGCCTGTTGCCAAAGTCCTGAGTTCAATCGCCACTTCTGTGTCACTTTGTTAGATGAAAGGTAAATAGGGTTCTACAGAACACCTGTAGTAAATTAAAGTCCAGCAAGATTGTCTTGCGTGCCATTATATATGAGTTTAATTGTCACTGGGTGTCCTACTGTGATGATTTTCTACCCGACCGAGATAAATATCGAATATCGGATCAGTATCTTTGTCTTCGTTGAACGCCCCAGCTTTCTGTAGATTTCTCCTGAATAGGCTCTCTTCTTCCAGCTATAGGAAAATAGCAGGGTAAACTCGACTCTTTAACATTAGTTGGCAATCAATCTAGCAGACTGAAAACTTTGCTTAGACACCATGAAGAAGAACTCTTTTATAAACAACCAGCAAGACACCGTGGAGATTAAAGAGTATCAACTACATAGTTGATCACTAAGCCAAACCGCTTTTATATATATATATATATATATATATATATATATATATATATATATATATATATATAGGATTAATATGAGTAAAAGTTTGTCACTTAGCTGACTAATATTACCTTCAGCATCCATGTCCGCCCACCCTTAAGAGGATATCAGCAATTTACTGCTTATATATGAATATAATTTACTGCTTATATTGTTATATAAGCAGTAAATTACTGATAGCCACTGAAGAGTAGACGGACAGGTCCACCTACGAAACTCTGAAGTCGGGATGCTGAAGGTAACATCAATCAGCTAAGTGACTTTTTATATATATATATATATATATATATATATATATATATATATATATATTTTCTTATATATATATATTTTTTCTTATATATATATATATATATATATATATATGAATCAAAAAGTAATTTGTTTTATTATAAAAGAAATAAGGAACACAATCAAACATATTGTAGCTATACATCACAGGTTCACATCCCTAATTCTAAACATAGATGCCATTTCTTTCAATGGTAGTGTTCCACCTATGAATGAGGGTATGTATCCCATCTTCGTAAAACTCAACCGGCTGTTGATATAGCCAATTTCTGAAAGAAGTTTTCACTTCTTCATCACCACCTGACTTACCACCCTAAAACTTCTATTCCCTTGCTACGATGAAAGATGTCCCGTGGAGAAAACTTTATGGCTGTGATGAAAAAGTGAAAACGGCTGTAAAGAATTGGTTACGTCTTGTTAGATTTTCAAAATATGCTATTACAGCGTCATCATTGCTTACTATCCTTTACACATTAATTCAGACTCTTTTCTTTCAGGCTGTGATCAAAGTGCTAAGGTGGTTACAAATTCATGGCAAAATGTGTTTTTAGTTGAATGTAAGAATGAAAGCAATGTAATAATAAAAGCCATCAACAAAATAATTGTTTATTTATAAAGATAACAAATTACGAATTTGAAAATAAATACCAAAGCAGCTATTCTTAATGAGTTTTAAGAGCTGAGTATGTTGACTTGATTTCTTCATTAAGTAAGAACCTTTTAAGTTGAGCATGATATAAGACACATTCTATAGATATATAAATAATAAAACCCGTTTTTGCGAATATCTTCAAACAGTGTAGTCAATGGATACAGAGAATAATAATAATAATATACCTAATATGCCGCATGTATTTTTGTGCGCATCATCAAAGATTACAAACTGTTAGACAGAGTGTAATTAACGACTCTTAGAAATGTAAGCAATTTGCCTTCACTTTTCGCTATCATCCGTAACAAATCACTGAAACAATTTCAACACATTTGTTGAGTAATTGATCATGATTAAATACAATTGTCAGAAATGCCCAGCAAACACAATTAACAGAGTTTGCAATAAACAATAACAAGAGAAAAAAAGAACAAGGCAAAAATAATCTTAAGCAAACAATATATCAAGACAAAAGTAGACAAAGCAACAGTAATGAGACAAGAAAGTTCACAAACTAAGATTGGTATTAACAAAGAAAAGGAGTACAGACAACTGATCTGTATTCTGACTTGAAGACAAGAACAGAAATATGGCGCATAAAACCGAGACGTGTCCTATCTTATTGGCTAGGAAAAAATCCCAGCATGCATCTGTATATATTTTAAGAGGGAGATTTTTTTTTCAATTATTCCAACCAAGATTGGAACCAACAACATTAAAAGATCTCCGGGAGGGCTCATAAAATGATTTTGAGGGTAGAGTGGCTGAAAAAAAAAAGTAGAGGAAAACAAAAACATAATTATGTAGCCACCACCTAACGAATGAGAGACACCATATAAGCTTGCACAAGATCGAAATAAATGGCGGGAAATAAGTCATGTTCACAATCTGCCGTAGACGGAAAAAGCAATTAATGGTGACCTATATATATATTTTTTTTTTACTTTCATGTTTGTAACTGTTTTCAGTACTAAAGCTATCTCACTTGCACTGGTGATGCCACGTGGTAGTGTATATGTTATGGGAATGGGGACTACTCCAAGATGTTAATGCATCTGGCAGTTAATAATCGAGACTTCTTGAAAGAGTTGAATAAAACAATAATAATAATTGGAAAAGAATTGCAAATGAAAACCTAGCAATATCGAAAGATGCTGTCATGCCAACACGAATAAATTAGGAATTAATATAAATTTCTGCTGGACATCAAGTGGAAAATTCATTTATTAAATAATAAAGTGATCATTCCCATAATTAATAAAATATATTTGAAAACTCATACGAAGAAAACTATCTAATCATAGCAACGGCTTAAAATATCTCTTCATTTTGTACGATATGGACAGAATTATTTTAATATAAAGTCTAAACATTATATATTTAGGTACCAGTCATTCGCATAAACATGTTTATTAAAGAGAATGAACAATGATTATTTGTTAAGCTTTTAGGTGTATTTCTCCTGGTGTCGAGTAAGTCGCCTGATGTCCGGTTGAATCTTGTAAAGGAACTTACCGAAATTGTGTGTAACATTCCGAATACTTTCAACAATCGCTAGTTATTTCCAAGAAAATAAGGTAGAAGTCAGGAGATAACCTGTAGAGCATTTATATTATATAAACATATATATATTTATATTATATAAAGGATGTGTGTTCACTGGCTATGGTTGTGGAATAGACTTACATGTTAAAGTGAACTTACTGTTCAAAGGCATGGTAAGGTGTATTTCATTAATGGCGGTTTGTTCTCTTTTGATGGGAAGAGATTCCAAAACATGTAATTGTTTTTTTGTTTTTTGGGGTTTTTTTTCGGTTGGCTTGTAAGAGCCCTGTTGCATTGTCAATCGGGATATGACGGCAATATAAGATTCTACTTGACATAAAGTGGGAGATCAGTTTTATATTGTTGTCAAATAATATGACCTCCCAAGAATTATTACATATTAATAGAATTGGAAAAATATGTTTAAAGATTTAAATGTGGAAACGTTCTCATTAGGAACTAAATAAAATATTTTGTCTTCTAACAGCATGCATAAACATAATTTAATATAAGATGCTGCTAGTCTTAATTATAGAGCATCTGTTTTCTGTTATCAGTAAATAATAAAGTGTTTTCACAAACTATACTACATATTAATATGATGGGAAAATATATTTAAAACCCCAAATGGGAAGACCTTATAGAAATAGTAAGGACTAAATAAAATATGCTGTCATTTTTAATGTAAGCTTGTGGTAATATGAAATTACTAAACACAAAATGGAGGATCACTTTTCTATTATTATTAAGTAATAAACTGATCTCCCACAAAATGGCTACATATTTGTATAAATTATTTATATGTTAAATATACAGGGTAACCTAAAAGTCACTTTGCCGTAATAATATTACCATATTCGATTATTACCTTTGTCGATTGCTGCAAAATGCTTTGATAGGGAGAACTTCTTATAAAAACCACATTCGAGACTTCATTAAAAGACTTTGCACATCAAATCCCGCGAAATTTAAATCAAAATGTATCTAAGAGCTTCCTGATAATTGGTAACATTATAAATAATAGTGAATACATAATTGAATAAAATGCAGTTGGACTTTATTTTCTCAAGAATAACGTCGATAGAGAAAAACGGAAATTATTTATGACTCAAACTAATATAAACTAAAAAAAGTTAAAATAAAAAATTAAAACTAAAATGTATATGAAAGCTGAAAACAATTATGTTTTTTAACGAAATATAACCGTATTTAAAAAAAATGTATTATAGTAAAGTCACACTACCACTCTTTTTTTAAATAATTGATTACGGTTTATCAACACTTTTCAATTTATTTAAAGCCAGGAAATGTTTTTTTGATTGTACGAATTTTTGTTAGATAATCATTTAGCGATACAAATCATACTAATTAGCCCATAACTGGGGGGAGAAGAGGTGGATTCATGCCTTCTCCAACGGTATTTGTGCATAAGTGAATATAATAAACCCAACCAGAATTAGCACTCTACTCTGCGATTAACAATTCTGAGCCATTATCCATTATACCACTTGTACATCCAAGCACCTGGTATTCCCAAACGATCACCCATCTAGGTAATTATCAGGCTTGACGTTGCTTAACTTCGCTGATATTATTACTCTGTATTTAAAGTGAAAAACTTATAATAATAATAGCGAAGACTTAAAAAACATCAGCCTCACTTTCTTTCTTTTTTTCTTTTTTTCTTTTTCTTTTTATTTATTTATTTATTTGACAATGTGAATAAATAAGCTGCTGTTGTGTGTTATCCTACTAGACTTTGCTTTAAAAAAAGTCCCTAGGGGGCGCTCCTTAAGCCTATTAAAAACTGTGCATTTTTCTCTTTACTCTTTTTTTTCTCTTTTACAGCTTTTCAACACTAGCATTAAGATGTAGTCTACTCTGTCTTGACTTTTGAACTCTTTCACACATGTCTCTATCACGTTGGCTTACACAATTTCCCCCCGCACACGCACAAAACGCACACATTCTCTCATGTTTTCGATATAATCTCGTCTTTAAATGTTTTGTTTTTTACTGTAATTGTAATTCCTTTTTGTCAATGCATGAAATTAGTTGTTTGTTTTATATTGCTTTGTTTTATTCATTTTATTTGTTTTATATTGCTTTGTTTTATTCATTTTTTTACTTCGACTCACATTGAGTCTGCCAATATTGTTTGTGGGGTAAATTTTCCAGGAGTCAATAAATATTTATTATCCAAAGTGTTGATTTCCCAATAGTGACTAAATATTTACCTAAACATACCAGAATTCCGTTGTAGTTGGGCATTAATCAAATTATTGTATTACAATTTGAATTATCTTTGCAATTATTAATCCAGAAAGAATGTTGTCCTTAATATAAAATTAAATATAACAGAATTGAATGTATAAAAGCAACAATCATAATGTCCTATTATTTGTTATTATCATGTTTCAGCTATTTCGGGCTTCTTCAGCCTAGAAGGTTGGTTTGTGAATTTGGTGAAATAATATTTGTAAGTTCGATGTATGGGCTGTACAGCACAGACCCAGACTAGATGGAAACAGGACTACTAATAATTGTTAAAACAGTTAACTAATACTAGGCATCGCTAGACGTGAACAGCGGAACGGGAACAATTCACCCCGTAGATTAAATAAAGGGTCTTATTCGAAATTCCTTGAGAGACACGCTGAAGAATACCTGTAGGAACAACTTTGTGATAATAACAACAAAGACGTAGACATTAGTTCAACTGTAAAAAATGTAATTAATATACTGATGTATTTAAAAATCTGGGAAGTGAAAACACCAACGCTTGAAAAAGTACAACAATAATTAGAAAATATATACTTAAAGACTCGTATATGAAAAACATAACACTGTTATATATATTTTACATAAATATATGTCATTTTTTATATGTAATATCTATAATAACATTTCTATAATTAAAATAATTTCATCAATTCTTATGATTCCATTTCTATAATTTTCTTATCATTTCATACCTATAATATCTATAATTCTCTATATACTGTCATATAGGAAGAAAACGAGTAACTACCGACACCGAGGTTCGAGCGTGACACCCTGGACTTATGAATATGTTTTCTGACTGGTCTATAAATATATAATGCGATGATTATTGAGTGATTATTGAGTGATGAGTGAAAACAACAACCTTTGAAAAAGTACAACAATACTTTAGTCGAATTAGTGAAACTATCCAGTCGAATTATTGTGCGTCGATGATTTGGGTTTTGATTTAGGATTTACCGGAAGTTAAGCCGAGCCGAGCTTCTAACAAGGTATTCACTGAAATGGTTAATTATCTTTGGTTGGCTTTTACTTCTTTGTTCTTGTTAAGTATTTATTTGCAGCTGTAACTAAATCCTATTTTTTTCTTAACATTGAAGTCTTGAGTTATACTTAATCATTAACGGACACCGTATGTCACAAAATATACATATCAATATACACAATATATATATATATATATATATATATATATATATATATATATATATATATATATATATATATATATATATATATATATATATATATATATATATAAACATGTAATTTATATATATATATATATATATATATATAATGATATATATATATAATATATATAATAGAAAATATACATTTAAAGATTGGCATATGAAAACTTATAACAAATAACAATTTCGTATATGCTAACATTTCTTACATCAGTTGCTCAAATTTATAACCATTTTTTAGTTACATGTTGACTACTAGATTTGTTAAAGAATATGAAATCAAAACTAACAATGTAACGCTGTTCATGTTTTGGAATTTGCAATTCTTGGTGCGAAGGAATTGCCAGGTTGATCGGGTACTTACTGATTTTCTGAGATTCTCCCGATTGTGCACAGATATAGCGGGCGCGTTCGGATGGACATTCCCAGGAGCCATCAGGTTTGCAGTCACAGTCGTAGTGGACGCATTCTTCCCTAAACGAGAAGGATCGATCCAAGGGGTAATTGTTACCGTTCGCCTCACAGCCAGACACTTCTGTCCCCACCGGCAGTACAATATGTTTCGTGTAGACTAAACAAAAAGAAAGAAAAACAGGTTGAGATGGGAAATTATTTGGAAACATTATTTACCTAACAGGAAATTATTTAATTTTTTTTATGGATTTATTTATAAACGTGATGTTTACTACACAAGGACACTATAACACACACACACATAGATAGATAGATAGATAGATAGATAGATAGATAGATAGTCTCTCCCTCTCTCTTTAGATAGATCTATCTATCTAAAGAGAAAAGGAGAGATTGGTTAGGTTGGTTAATTTAAAGATATATCAACACTTGTTGAGTCGTTTAATAGAAGTGGTCTCTACGCAAATATCTACTAGGTCCTATTTTTTTGAGGGGAAGTCGTCTTACACATCTGCTGGCGGAGTAATCTAGTCTCTGACGACAGTGTAATCCACTCCTCTTTAATTTTGAATATATCAGAAGTTGTCACTCGAAATAATGACAAGAATATTCATTAGTTATTACATTCATCAAACATATCTGTTAATATTAAATTTTACAAAATGGATGTTAGGGAGATTCATCAGCATTGGCTAATGGTTACCTAGACTAGTTTAGTTGTCCAATAGTAATGCATTCGATTTTTACTTTATGTCCTTTAAAAATTAGGCATTAAAGAACCAAACAAGGGTTGACATGTAAAAAACAACAACAAGAAAAATGTTATTTGCATTATTGTATTTCTGTGAAAAAGGACGTTCAAAAGTATGAGAGTTACTTCCCTTGGATCGTCATACGCGTTTCCATTTGCTTTTTATGTTCTCCGAAACAAAAGTAAAAGATTTTTCTAAAGTTAATTATTAAACCAATCGTTCAATGAAGATATGTGTAAGATTCAATATGAATTCAGTTTGCTTCGTATCTAAAAGCAATTATTCTGATACTCACAGTACTGTTTCTTTTCTTCTTTTGTGTGTTCTTCTTTCCGTCGCAGACAAATATTTTCCGTTTGAGTTGCAGGACATTCGTATGAGCCGTCAGGTTTGCATTCACAATTATATTTGAAGCAACCATTAGTGAATGAGAATGGTCGGTCGAGTGGATAATGTTTTCTCTTCACTATACACGACGTAACGCTACCTATCAGGTAGAAAACGGAAAAGAAAATCTTGTCAATATTAATTGTAACATTCAAAAACGATTCATTGAGAAAGAGACAATCACGTAAAGGAAAAAAAATCAATGATATTTTCCGCTCAAAAATATAGTAATTTTAAAGACCCATAAGAATGTATGTCTATAAGGAAATACATAAAAAATTGATTATACTGTCACGGTGACGTGTCCATAAAAAAAATAAATAAAAATTAATTAATATGTTAAAAATAATTATAATAAAATAATTATAAGAATGATAATTATTAATTCATGCATTCTAAACGAATGGGAGCCGACCCCACTTTTTTTCCTCTACACAAGCAAACAAGGGACATTCTCACTATCGGCCAACAATTCGCACAGACAGCTCGTTAACACATATGTCAGCGAAAATTTAATCTCCTTTTTCTTTTCAGGCCATAACAGTAACATTTATCTTTTAGCATTCAACAAAAATTTTAAGTAGGAAAACCCCAGTCACTTTTTATATTTTCTAACTAAATTATCTTTACACACATCTATAAAAAAACACAAAACCATACGAGGAAGACTGTATACTCTTTATTTATTCTTTATCTCATGATTCTGTCGGATTCTGATCCATATTTGATCAACATTAGACTCCAAACTTCCAGTTTTACTCAATATTACTGTCTCTCGTTTTTTTAATACCATATGACAACCAAATAATAAATAATACACGTTTTGTTTTTGTTAGGGTCCGGTTCGTTGTCCCACGGGGATAGTCCAAGGTAGAACCAATAAAGAAGAACTCAAACACAGGTATGGAATAACACAGATATATTACAAACAGGAATATATACAGAGAAGTAGAAATGTTAGTATGAACAATCAGGTTTAGTAGAGAGAATAATGTAGTCTCGACCAGTATCACTATTCCAATGTCTTGCAGTAATTGTCTGAACGCGACTCTGTTTTCGGACTGCCTCTGACTCGACTCTTGACTCGACTTGAACTACTGACTGACTGACAATATTCAGTCACCCCCCCCACGAGGGTGTCATGTGGCACAAGGCCTTTTTAACGTGGGCATTCCCGGAGCCATTAGGCTCGGCCAAAAAAATAGCCCATTTGAACCCGTATAAACGGGTTCTGGGCCGAGTTTACCTCCCCGAAGGAGACTCCGCCATTCGGCGTAGCCTCCTTCGGGTTCCTCCCGCCCGTAGGAAGAGAGTTAAACCGAACAGTCGCTCAAAAAGAACTACTCGACTAACAATATTCAGTCACCCCCCACGAGGGTGTCATGTGGCACAAGGCCTTTTTAACGTGGGAATTCCCGAGCCATTAGGCTCGGCCAAAAATAGCCCATTTGAACCCGTATAAACGGGTTCTGGGCCGATTTTACCTCCCGAAGGAGACTCCGCCCTTCGGCGTAGCCTCCTTCGGGTTCCTCCCGCCCGTAGGAAGAGAGTTTAACCGTAGTCGGCTCAGAACTTGAACTACTGACTGACTAACAATATTCAGTCACCCCCCACGAGGGTGTCATGTGGCACAAGGCCTTTTAACGTGGGCATTCCCGAGCCATTAGGCTCGGCCAAAAATAGCCCATTTGAACCCGTATAAACGGGTTCTGGGCCGGTTTTACCTCCCCGAAGGAGACTCCGCCCTTCGGCGTAGCCTCCTTCGGGTTCCTCCCGCCCGTAGGAAGAGAGTTTAACCGTAGTCGGCTCAAACTTGAAGTATTGACTGACTAACAATATTCAGTCACCCCCACGAGGGTGTCATGTGGCACAAGGCCTTTTTTTTAACGTGGGCATTTGAACCTTGTATAAACGGGAGCCATTCGGGCCCGGTAGGAAAAATAACCCAGTTCGAACCCGTATAAACGGGTTCAGGGCCCTTTTTAACGTGGGCCTGAGCCCCGGAAGGATTTGAACCCGCCGGGTTCGGCGTAGCCTCCTTCGGGTTCCGGGTTCCTCTCGCCCGTAGGAAGAGAGTTTAACCGAACAGTCGCTCAGAGGTGAACGATTGACTCGACTAACAATATTCAGTCACCCCCACGAGGGTGTCATGTGGCACAAGGCCTTTTAACGTGGGAATTCCCAAGCCATTAGGCTCGGCCAAAAAATAGCCCATTTGAACCCGTATAAACGGGGTTCTGGGCCGTTTAACCTCCCCGAAGGAGACTCCGCCCTTCGGCGTAGCCTCCTTCGGGTTCCTCCCGCCCGTAGGAAGAGAGTTTAACCGAACAGTCGTTCAGAGGTGAACGACTGACTGACTAACAATATTCAGTCACCCCCACGAGGGTGTCATGTGGCACAAAGGCCTTTTTAACGTGGGCATTTCGGAGCCATTAGGCTCGGCCAAAAATAGCCCATTTGAACCCGTATGAACGGGTTCAGGGGCCGGTTTACCTCCCGAAGGAGACTCCGCCCTTCGGCGTAGCCTCCTTCGGGTTCCCGCCCGTAGGAAGAGAGTTGAACCGAACAGTCGTTCAGAGGTGAACGACTCGACTGACAATATTCAGTCACCCCCACGAGGGTGTCATGTGGCACAAGGCCTTTTTAACGTGGGCATTCCCGAGCCATTAGGCTCGGCAAAAAATAGCCCATTTGAACCCGTATAAACGGGTTCAGGGCCGATTTAACCTCCCCGAAGGAGACTCCGCCCTTCGGCGTAGCCTCCTTCGGGTTCCTCCCGCCCGTAGGAAGAGAGTTGAACCGAACAGTCAGTTCAGAAACGATTGACTCGACTGACAATATTCAGTCACCCCCCACGAGGGTGTCATGTGGCACAAGGCCTTTTTAACGTGGGTAGGCTCGGGCCCATTTGAACCCGTATGAACCTGAGCCATCCACCTTCGGGCTCGGTTCCTCTCGCCCGTAGGGAAGAGAGTTGAACCGTGCAGTCAGTTCAAGGTGAACGACTGACTGACTAACAATATTCAGTCACCCCCCACGAGGGTGTCATTTGAACCCGTATCCCGAGCCAACGGGTTCATTGGAACCCGTATGAACGGGTTTGGGCCGGTTTAACCTCCCCGAAGGAGACTCCGCCCTTCGGCGTAGCCTCCTTCGGGTTCCTCCCGCCCGTAGGAAGAGAGTTTAACCGAACAGTCAGTTCAGAAGGTGAACGACTGACTGACTAACTTCTTGCCTACTCCTGAGGCGCAGTATTTATTAAGTATGGAATAGTCCATTATTATTATTATGGGTAAGATCTCATAACAGTTTTCATTTGTAGTTTCTCATTTTTATGAGTATTTTTGTATATATATAAATTTAGGTACTTCCACTTGCTCGCTGAAAAACAGCATGGCATGATGAAAAACCTTGCAGTTTCAGACCAGCATGTTCACTTAAAGACAAAATTCTAATTTAAAAATTAGAGGAAGAAACTCGTTTTATAAGTAAATCATTCGCCTTCCCTAATTGCTAATTTGTGTTCAACGATTCATAGTAGAATGAAAAGCCACTCAAACCCTTTACATCTACTTTGATAAACGAAATTGTTTCCTTTATTGTCTTATCTTTCCTTCTTTTTATGATGACAGACGCGAATCGTAACTAACGATATTAAGGAAATATAATACTTAAGTGCGACTGTCCGCTGACCCTATCAAATCACTAAAGATTGTTTCGTTCTGATATATGAAAAGTGATGTTGAAATTTTGAACCAGTAAAAAAGACGTAGTGTCAGAGCAAGAACATAATGGGATTAATTAACCAAGACAAAAATGAAATTAATTATTTTATTTTTAAAAAAATGATACATTTTGAATGAAAAGACCGTTTTCGAAGAGTTCTGTCTACCCATTTTAACTTGCAACATGTCATATGTTTTTTCAGACAGACACTTTACAACGCTGTCCCACATTGCGATCGCTTATACCTGACTAATAATATGAAGAACATCCAGACACCGGGAAACGTTTCTTGTTGTAAAAAAAAAAAAAAAAACGATTGGAGAATGTAATTGTCAAGTTGCTTAAAAGCAAATAAAAATAATTTAAAAAATATACATGGTGCGCCAGAAATTCTTCCCACATATACCACCCAGAAATAATGGTAAGATATTAACTAGATGAAGACACATTGCCGCTAATGTCATACCATTATATAGGAGGTATTTCTGGGAGGTATATATGGAAGGTATTTTGGCCGCACCTAATATATATATATATATATATATATATATATATATATATATATATATATTATATATCGTTTCGCACATCAGACAGAGTTTTGCTGGCAATACAATTTCCACTGGAAAATTCTCCTACAAAAACAACTGTCGGTGAGTAGTTCTCACTTCTCTGTTTATTCCTCGGTCCGTTGATAAAGGACACAGGCGTGTCCGAAAATTCCGAAATTAAAACCTTTCTCTCCGTTCTTCATTACCGTCATATGTATAATAATTAATTTTTAATAAATGTTCATCGTACTAATTATATTGATGTCCTTTCGTTTGTCCTTGTTTTATTAACTAAACTACCTATTTTATACACACACACACACACACACACACAGACATGCATAAGCACACACATATATATATATATGTGTGTGTGTGTTTGGGCGCGGGCGCGCGTGTGTGTGTGTGATAGGATAAGGAAAAAACAAGAAACGTTTATAAATTGTTTTAGAAATTAATTACGGAAGAGAAAATTCCGGTACTTTTAATTCTGTGTTGTTTGTTTATCATTGTTCAGGCAGACCAGGTTACATTGTATTGTGGTATTAATATGTGTGTGTGTGTGTGTGTGTGTGTGTGTGTGTGCGCGTGCGTGCGTGCGCATGCGCGTTTTCGTGTTTGGATCCTAGTAGGCATTTTGTCTTAGTGTAGTAGAGTCCCTGTGTATAATTCCTGAAGAAGGTAGTTGGATGATGGCGTGCCTGTATACATATGTGGTAGGTATTTCTACTGCATCTTGTATGTTTAGCCTCTTTTATCATTTCTGAGTGACTGACTGGTTGCTTCCGTGTATACATGTCTACTAGGGTGCGGAGCTAGTCCTCGTTGCAGACATCTGATCAGACACATTCGTGTTTCTCCAAAGGCCACAGAAGAAACATGTGATTTATACTACAGCTATGATGATCCGGTCTTAGTTACAGTCTCTGGAAGAGAACACATTATCTGGCATATTCAAGAGTTTGAACAAATACCTGTAACCTCAAACACTCGGTCACAATTAACGCCATCAACAGCGTCCGAAAGATCAGTATTAACATTAACTTTGACTTTTATGTAACGAACATTTTGGGTATCATGTTGATTGTTATACCTGAATTTCGTGACAAAGATCTGTGTTATTACACAGTCATACACAACAAAAATAGTTTTTGATAAGGTGCATGCTATGTTTGAGCTATTTCTGAGAAACTTTTGGATGCTGAATCCAAAAATCGTTTTTGAGGAGGTGCGTGCGATATTTGAGCTAATTTTGAGCAATTTCTGGATGTGTGTCCAAAAATCGTTTTTGATGAGGTGCATGCCATGTTTGAGCTGTTTTTGAAGAATTTCTGGATGCTGAATCCAAAAACCTTTTTTGATAAGGTGCATGCGATGCTTGAGCTATTTTGGAAGAATTTCTGGATGCTGAATCCAAAAATCGTTTTTGAAAAGGTGCATGAGATATTTGAACTTATTTTGAACAATTTCTGGATGCTGTATCCAAAAATCGTTTTTGATGAGGTGCATGCGATGTTTGAGCAGTTTTTGAAAAATTTCTGGATGTTGAATACAAAAATAACCTACATTTCCCAGCATTAGTTTAGTTTTCTTGCTCCATATGTAACTCAAGTTTCCATTTCAAATGTTTAAACATGACAAGCTGCACTCACAGTGACACATATTTTAACTGAATGTACTTACTGAACCATATAAGACATAACTTATACAAAGAAAACAACATAAGAAAACTATTTGAAAATACCGAAAGCGTCAACTTAATGTCCTAACTTAAAGAAATAGGTTTTTACCAAAACATAAAAAACATACGTTCACCCTGAAAGTATAAAATTCTGTACAAAATGCCTTTAATTGACGGCATAAAATTGTGTGCAAAATAATTAGATTTCGGCATTAAATAACCCATAGGGGTTGATATGCCGTTAAACAAAAATAATCAAAAAGAAATAAATGCAGACTATGTAAAGGGATTATATCCAAGGACTTTATATTGTTTCTATTCATAACTTAGAACAATACAATTACCCTGTCATTATCATCATGTATTATTATAATATAAAAACCAGATGTTTGCGCAATTAGTAATTCAATAACATTCATGGATTTTTGTAGGAGGCATTTTTCAGAATTAATTTGAACATTATGCAAAATTTGGCTGTAAATAATCATTTTTTTAAACTTAAGTTCTGTACAGAAAAATGTTGATTTAACCAGTAAAAATAGACTTAGTTTTTGGACATGGTGTCCCAAAATTAGCCAAGAAAAAGTATGTTAGCGTTCACCAAATCATGTGTAGGCCAGTGTAATTAGATGAAGGAATGGTGGCTTGGAATCCAACATCAGAGAACACCTCCCCTTCACCAAGAGGAAGATAAGCAAGATATTTTTAATGTCTGGTACAATGTCTGAAAAAACCAAGTAATTCATTGATGACCAACCAGAACATATAATCGTAGTTTGTGTATTGTATCAAGTTGTTCTACGGTTCCCAACATTAAAAAAAATGCTCATAAGTTATACCGGACGTGCTCGTAGCGAAGATTTATTGGCATAGAAAATAAGATTAGAGCGTCGTGTCAAAATTCTAACCATATCCGTTGCGCTCACCTTCACACAAAGGTATGAATCAATGTCTTCTCCCCAAACCTTACTTAGGAGTCAATAGCAGGGTAGACTAGGTTTTCTAGCCTTTATTGGCAACTAGTCGAGGGGAAGGGACATCACTGAATCTAAAATCATTTAGACGTGAAGCTAGTAACTCAACCGCGTAAAAACTTTCTTGTTACAGAAATAACTACAGTAACAACTAGTGTGGTTTGGTTGTAGCCCTAGAGGGGTGAGGCTGTGACCCAAAATTCCACAGGTGAGGATACAGAAGTTACTTCTGCTTCATGTTGTGTCATTAGATAGTGTCAAATATATTTCAATCCAGAAGAGTGGTTCAAATCTAATCAACACCACGGAAGTTAGGCCAGCAGATTTTTTCTTTCTTTCTTTCTTTTTTTTTTCAACCCTAACCCTTCTCAGGAAAAGTACTTTCAATTGAACGTGGTAAAAATATCTAGTTATAAAATCAACGAAAAAATCAGTAATATTTCATGATAAAATTCAGAAAAATATAACTCTTAACTTCCGCCTAGTTGACGTCTGGGTAATTAAAGAAAGTAGGTAACACACATCCGTTCAGGTTCACTGTCCTCGCTGACTTGCCTGCAACAAATTTGAGAGAGAGAAAGAGACAGAGAGATAGTGTGTGTGGATGGGTGAAAGAGAGAATTGGACAACCAGGAATCGTTTCTGCTTGCTGCTACTTTTATAATGACCCTGGCTGGAAGAGCAAATGGAACGAAAGATGCCGATAGGGATTAATGAAGATTTAATGAATCAATCTCGATCTGAAGGAAAGAAGGAGGGAAGAAATGGACCAGATTTCTTAATCAGTGTCTAGCTGTGAATTCAGGTGAGACGAGGGGCGTGTAAGCAAACTGAAAGAGATTAATGAACGGGGGTTGTAGTCAATCTGTCAGGGTGGGAGAAGTGAGCCGTGATGAGAAGCGTTTAATAATACCTGACCAACTGTTCGAATTGGAGAGATTACAGTCATAGTGATTTTCTAAGTGTTAAATGTGGGACAACGCCGAAATTATTGGGCACCCAGTGAGGATCGAACTCACTATTCAGTCGAAATTGATCTAGTTTGCTAACCATTACACCACGTCGGAGTTCCCAAGAGACTAGGGTTGTGAGAAGAATAAAAAGAATGATTGTACGTGAGGCAAGCTTGTTAACCATTACACTATATCAAAATGCCCAAGACACTGGTGTCGTGGGCAGAGTAATTGTACGTAATGGTTAGCTAATGCTAACCATTACGCCACGTCAGAATGCCCAAGGGATTTTCTAAGCGTAGCTTAGATGTGACACAAGGCTAGTAGTGTGGAGCACCCAGTGAGGAACGAACCCACTACTTACTCGTAATTGATCTAGCAAGATAACTTTGTTAACCATTACCTCATATCGGAGTGCCGAAGAGACTAGAGTCATAGGCAGATTGAAAAGAATGATTAAATTCAGTTCTTAATATGGAGGTTCGAAAGAATTAATCTGTTGATAAGGATGAAGAATTTTATAATAATGTCAGATCGTGGAGAGACAAAAGAGAGGAGAGACGTGATCAGACTGAAAGGCTTTTATGAGCAAATCATTTATAATCAATCTGGTGATGTGGAAACGATGGTGAAGTCAAAAAGTTGGTCAGAATACATCAGCGAAAAAAGTAAAAGTCAACAAATATATTTAAATCCTATATTTTTATCAGGTACAATTTTTATAATAAGGTCCAAGAGTATAAGGCCCAAGAGCCACCCGAGGTAGAGGAGAATGGCGGATCTTAGTCGTGACGGTTAGAACTGGCAGAAGTCATTAAATGTAGTTCGTCTAAACAGTTTCCATGAAAATAGCGATAGAGCAGCGAGAGGCTTGAGCTGTTTCGTCTGTGGGAAAGTGTTTGTCGGGTGGAAAATGATTCACAGGTACGCAGAGACGCTTCTGGACTGGAGAGTGAAGACTGGGCAGCTCCTGCTCCATTTTGAGCCTGATCTGGTTCTTGGAAAGGTAAAGGATAGCAGGAGTAGTCCAGGTACTTACGGAACTGGTATAGGGAAGCGAGCATTTTTCTAACATCTTTAGCTGTAGATCGTATGTACGATTTCCACTTGAGGCCTGAGTTGAGGTTAAATCTCAATAGGCACTCAAGATATAGGGTATCCCTCAAATGAGACCCGTTCATGAAAATTCAGGCTCCGCTCACTCATACTAGAACGTCTCTTAGGGTGATATATATGTCTGTAAAATGGATATTAGTTTTTTAAGATACTTACGGTGATATGTGATTGTTTTATTGCCTTTTTCTTCCGCTTCTTTCTTTTGTTGGTCGCATACGTTTTCCGTCCGTCGAGCTGGACACTTCCAGGACCCATCAATCTTACACTTGCAGTTGTATTTAAAACAGCCATCGGTGAAAGAGAAATGCTGACCGAGCGAGTATTTTTTGCCTTTTACTGTACATCCATCTGGCAAAGAAAAATAAACAGTTTATTCAAATTTCGAAAGAGCCGAAGAAACAGAGTGCTGTTCGGGGTTGTGGTAGGTAGTGATTCTGACTATGTCTTCAAATTTCGACCTTCAGGTTAATAAAGGTCACTCCAATATATGTCGAAGTTTGAAATGACATTTGTCAGTAACTCAGCTATAAGGGAAATAATCACCAACTCCCGAAGAAAATAAACTAAACAGAATTCTAAATAAATAAATAAACAAATTAAATAAATAATTAATAAATTAACAAACTACGAATGAACACATAAACAAAAGTAACTGTAATAATAATAATAATCAACAACAAATGATAAAGTAATCAATAATGAATAATGAGTAAAAAGTTAACATTATAAAATAGCTACAAATAACAGTATCTGGATCCACAATTATTCCCACTCAATACTCTTTAGAATAATTTAAAACATAACCGTTTCTGCCAACCCACTAACCGTTAGGATAATAGAATAAACCTTGCTACCCATAATACACCAGCATATATAAATAGTTGAACCAAAGCAAATAACACATTGTCTGAAATTGCATTCAAGTATGAAACCTTCTGTCACAGTTCAATTTTGACCTCAGCGTTCACCGTTATATATTTGATATCTATCTATCTTATTTTAATTCAGACTGGTAGATGGAAATAAATAAATATACAGTTTAATAATGAAAATATAGCATCTACTGAAATATGAGTATCCATTAAAAATAACGTTTAAATAAATAAATTAAAAAATATGTCGTAATTTTTATATATATATATATATATATATATATATATATATATATATATATATATATATCTGGTCTGCTCTACGGTTGTATTGAGCTCTTTTGTTAGTTAGTTGTTACTCGTATCGGGGTTTTTTCTTTGGGCTTCAGACCTGCATCTGTGCGATTTTTTTTGTCGGCAGAAGTTCATGTTTATAGCTCTTTCTTTTTTAAAACCTTTTTTTTCCCTCGAAATTGATTTGATTAGCAAATCAAAAATTCGAGGGTTTTTCAAAACGAGTCTAGTTATCTATATATATATATATATATATATATATATATATATATATATGTATATATGTATGTATGTATTAGACCGATGAAGAAATTCGAATAAGAAAAATAATAAATATATTTTTAGACTAGTAGACTTAATAGAATTACGATGAGAAAAATGTTAAAATAGAAATTTTCAGACACGTCTGTGCCCTTTTTTTCGAAAAATCACTGATGTTGGACTTTCAAAGATTGTTCTAAAAAAGTTGTATCGTGTAAGTGTAGATCTGTTGTAGAACAATTATTGGAAAGGTGAATAAGATAACAGCTGAAACTTGATTAAAAGATACTATATTGCTGTATGAGTTGGTTTATTTAGTTTTAACCTAGCTAGAGGATGTAAGGTCACTGGCCCCTTTTTAATTTTTGTTCTTTTTCCTTTAGTTTCATTCCCCAATATCTCCATTAAGTTACAGATATTTTAGTTCCTTGCTAAGTTCGGGGTGGTTTTTGACGTTTGTATTTTCGTATTTGTTCTTGCGTATGTGTGATTCTGTGCGTGTCTGTGATTTATCTTACTGATCAAATCCTGCAATTGTGGGTGGGGGAAGTTAACTGTTATTTTTGATATAGTTATGATATGTGTGTCTGGTGATGTTTTCTAATACTAACACACAATTTTTTTTCTTGTAAATATGTTTTAGTCATTGTAAATATGGTTTTGGGATGTTGCGGATATCAAATATTATAACTGAAAAAGTATATTTGGAGGTTCAAGTTGTAAAACATTAAGTTAATCTTGGGTAATCCACCTTTTTCAAAAAATTATATTTATATATATATTTGAACATACACTATAATTTAAAAATAAATTTAAACTCTGATTTTCGTCTATTTTGTTGGCAACTACATGAACACACTAAAAAATGCGTCTAACATTATAAATGTTATGTTCCTGATGGTTAAAGTGTGCAGCTAAAGGGAAATTGTTATTTCTAATAGTTTTTCCTGTGGTTTGTAAACCATAAACAGAAGTCCGTACGTGTTTCAGCGACGTAATTACCTTGTTACATACATTGCAAGAAATTAAACATATTTGGATTGTTACACGTGAAGAAAGGTGATCGAATTTCTGTGTTTGTTCCAGTTGGTTTAAAATTTATCTTCTTTATTTTATAGACTAGAAGAATATATTGACTGCGTTTGGAAGCCTCAATGATTGATTCATTGATTTTTATCGGGGATTGGAAAGGTATGTAATGTTTTACGTAATCCCCGGGGTCAGGAAAAATACGTTAATGCATAAACACTGACTATATCTTCTTCTTTTTTTAGTTTGATAGGGTGGCATCTGTTGAAATTTAAGTAACAATGACCATCTTTAGGCTTAGTGTATAATGATGTGCCGATATAGTTATTGTTGAGAAGTAGCAGTACACAGAGAAACAATATGGAAGAAGCTGAAAATTGTATCGTTGTGAAATGTATTGATATATTGTTTGAAATCATGAACATATTCATCACCATATATCAATTTTTTAATAGAATTTAACTCATGTAAGGTAGTAAAGCCACGAAAATACAAGAGGGTTAATGGACACGAAAGAATTAGAAAACAGAAACATTAAGAAGCGAGAAGAACAGAAAAGTAAACAGGAAGATAATAAATAACGATGGACATTGCATTTAAATTTTTGAACATCAAAGTTGGTTGGAAAATGCTGAGGGTTCCACAAGCGAGAAGTGTGAGAAAAGAAACTGTTAGCAGAGAACTTACGGTTATAATACAAGGAAAATATCATCAATTAATCTGTAGCAGAGAAAAGGTTTATTGTGAAGTATACTTTGTTCCAGGTTACCCATAAATATATTATTATTGTTCTCATAGTTGTGTCACCGAAGAAAAGAGTGACCATTATACTCAAATTTGTTATGTGTAAAGATACATTTTATGGTGTGACAGATATACTGTTTGATATGTTCTTGAATACAAGTGTGTATTTCTTCTTCGGGTGGAAATCTGTAATATGGGAATGCCACATCCATTTTAATATCGAGTAAATCGTTTGTTTTTTTATGGATCACTTGTAGAATTTGTAGAAAAAGGGTGGGGGTGTCATTGAGGTAACTGGGAATAGTAGGTAGTTATTATTTTTGTATTCTCGCATTTTCAATTCTTTACCCCACGAAGATTGTAGCGAACCATCCTCATTCCCTTCATATTCCATTGGTGGGATATAAGTCCCACTCGAGCAGCTCCTTCCCACACTGCTTTGTGGAAGGAGCTCCCAAGAGGATGCTCCCCCGATCACTACAATCTTAACCTATTCAAGTCTAGATTTAACTGGTATCTTCCACAAATATCGCCATAAAATGTACTGCTTACTCTGTAACTCCCTACCTCGTATACCTCTTGGACCTTGTACCGGGTGGACACACACACACACACACACACACACACACACACACACATATATATATATATAAATATGGATCAAATATGGATGGGAATCTGACAGAATGATACGATAAAGAACAAATAGGAAACCTTTATAAATCTAAGATGTTTCGGATTTATTAAAATTGCATCAGAGAATGAGATATGCCATAATTCCGCTTATACAATGAAAATCAAACAACACAAAAAAAAAATTCAAATTTTTTCCATATCTCTTTCTCTGATGAAGCTTTAATAAAAGCGAAACGTTATATTTATAAATGTTTCCTGTTTGTTCGTTATCTTATCACACACACACACACACACACACACACACACACACACACACACACACACATATATATATATATATATATATATATATATATATATGGAATAATAATATATATAAGTTATATATATCAAGAACAATTTTGAAAGAAAGCTGAATGAAAAGTAGAAAAAGTTTTCCTGAGACGCGTTTCGTCCTTTGGGACATCAGATTATTTTTTTTCCTTTGGTACGACTACAGTTGCACACGAACGGAAGATGTTGGGAATCCTAAATTTTAAATTATTTTTCTTTTTTTTAATGCGTTTTGTGTATATAATCTATCCGACTTCATTTAGATTCTTTTTTGTTTTTCTTCATTTTTGTTATTAGATCTCAACCCCCACCCCCAGACACACACACTGTAATAATAGAAGATCTGCCAGAAATGGTGAAATGCTGTTAGAGCCAGGCCGAAAACTTACTGTGGATGGGCTAGCGATCAAGGCACTCTCGAAACATTTTCGTCTGACTGAATTGTTTTCTCCTTTGATCAGAGTAGCATATATATATATATATATATATATATATATATATATATATATATATATATAGGGGCGTTCCGAAAGGATTTTATTATGTTGTCCCATGACGTCAAAATCGAATATGGCAGTAGAGGCTGAACCTTCCTTTCTTGTCAGTAACCCATATTGTTTTAACTTGTTCCATATAGCATATGCACAGCAGTAAAGAAAAATGTCAGCAGTGACCAAACAGTGGATATGAACGTAGTTTAGCAGCGGCGATAACAATATGTATAACAATCCCCTTTATGACACTCTGCACAAGCGTCAATCCACGATCACCTCGAACACACAGCCGATGACGGTGCAGGGAAATATGTAATAATTTGCTCTTTCTATCCGACCAGTAGAGGCTTATGGCCACATCTCGTTGAAACACCGCTTCCCGTACAATCGAAGAAGTTAAACAAAAGTCGAGCCTGGTCAATACCTTGATGGGTGACCAGGTCTAAAGTAAGTTTCGATGTGCGGGTCTTGTAATGGACAATGGCTCGCAATTGTTCAGCGGAGAGCCGAGTACCAATTCCCATTGGGTTCGTTTTATTCATTTAAGCGCAAATACCTTTGGGAAAAGTATGAATCCGCCTCTTCTTATGGGTTAATTAGTAAGATTTGTATCACTAAATTATTATTATCTAAAAAAAGAATACAACCTCCAAATATTTCCTAGTTTTAAATAACCTGCAAAGGGTTGATAAGCAGTCGAAACTGAATCAATCAATCAATTAGACCAGCATGCTTATCTTTCTTTTTTTAATGTTTACCCAATACACGGGTCGACTTCCATTACAAGTATAGAATTACTGAATAAGCTGGATCGAATAAGAAAGCGTATAATAATGATACACCTCCATCTAAAATATTTTGACGTAAACTAACCATGCTACCTGTATCGGTTGTAGTTCCATGAAAATAAATAAGGGGAATTACTTTGTACCGTCTTACATATATATATATATATATATATATATATATATATGAACTTAAGAAATGCACATCTCTCAGTGGGACTTTTCCAAGTCTACATATTTCCATTTAGTTAATTGTTTAATTTAAGTCGCTTTATTTAAGGCCAAGTTCACAATAAACGGTAGTCTATCCGTCAGTCATAACGAAATTCTCGTATATTCTCAATTTTTAGGGTATGGGAACGCTCTCTTTGTCTATACAACTTAATGGTAAATGATCTTTGGTTTAATATCATTAAAAAATATGTAACGAGACCACTGTACTTTCACATAGCGTCGGAAAACCTGCATAATTATTGAATGATTTATTAAATAAACACTACCAGTTATCTTACAGATTAAATATACAGATTTGAAATATTTATAGAAATATTTTCTTGAAATTATTCTAGCTTCAAGAAAGTATAATGCACTTCTATCTAAAAGTCCCTTGATTTTGTTTATTAATATTTACTAAGCATATTTTAGTCTGGCACAAGGTTAAATGTGTTAGTTAAAACGGATTTACCTCCCTTGAAAATAAAAGTTTGGAATCCTGTTTTGTACTGCTGACTTTCTATGAAACATGGCCGCCTTTTAGTAAGCTTATGACAAACAAGTCACATGACAATTCTAATTGATAGCAACGGTTTCCAGTACTGTTTCCTGTCTGTCTTTTGGGCTTACGTAAAACATCTGCCAACGTCGTGGTGAAACAGAAGTTTATTAAACCAAAAGACCTTTAGCCATATTTTTAGCCTAGTTTTTCTTATTTCAAGGTTAGTCTCAAACAAGGAAGATGTATTTTCATGCCGACCTGTCCTGCAGTAATGATAGTAATGAGGCCTTTAGGTTATTCCGACATCCTCATTATGACTGACTTTGTGTGCGCACACACACAGATACAGACACAGACACACACAGACACAGACACAGACACAAATATATATATATATATATATATCAAGTGTAGAAAAACAAACAGTAACATTACAACGTTCAGAACATTAATTTTAAAACAGTGCTCAATACACAAATTAAAGCCGTAAATATATATTTATCTTATGCAGTGTTACATTAGAACATGCACATATCCACTACAAAATTGTACATTTTTGTTTCAACGTCACCGTGATTTCCCACCTGATGAGTCTAATGTAACACTGCATAAGATAAATATATATATATATATATATATATTGCATATTTGGGCAGAAATATTTCTTGCATATATGTTTCGTTGAATATAATAAACAAGGAAAACTTCGTAACTTTTCATTCACTTTTTCTCGTGGCCTTACAGTTTTTTCTTTTATGAGAACTAAGAGAATGTAAAAAATGTCCATAGTGATTATTATTCCAAAGGTTTTCGTTGCTTAAAATTCATTAGGCATTTTAAAAACTTATTTCGTTACCCATATATGATTGTAATTCTTGTAATAAAAAACAAATAATTCCAACAAATAAATTGACCAGACGAGAACGTTATTAAATCGGAGGCTGGCAACCCACTGAAGTGATCTTAGTCCGATAAGGCAAGACTTAAACACACATACTCAACATTCTACTCTCATATGAAAATTCCTTGTAGATAACACTGCTATTCTAAAAACATCTAATTGTAAAAGACGTTTAAAGATAAATACGTACATTATATACTTTCTTTTAAGCAAATTCTTAATATAATTTTTTTTTGAAACAGATCGGGAAGTGTTGGCGTTGTTTTAAAGACACTCCACCAGAGAATTACGAATATTTCCATCGGTTTCATCTGAGAACGACTTCTATTTCTAAACAACACAATCTGTCTATATGACATCCGTCGTTCTCGGGAAACCTTGGATCTGTAGCTAAAGAGTTATGCCTCAGCAGTTGATGGTGATGCAGCATCTGTTATGGCTGTACAGGCCCAAACAGGAATAACAGTCTCGATTGCAACGAATGTATGTGAAGATATCGCCTTGTTGGTTTCTTTTCGTCGAGTTGAATCAAAAACTGGAGCAAGGGAAATTTACTGCCGATGGTTGTGATAACACGATGTCACAAGTCATTTTCACCGAGGACTTGAGCGTAAGGCCTGGCATAAATACGGTGTTATAATGATTATTATACATGCAGATAGGTACGAAATATTATTATTATTCCTCTTCTCCTTCTTCTCCTTGCTCCTCCTCCTCTTCTTCTTCCTCTTCTTCTTCTTCTTCTTCTTCTTCTTCTTCTTCTTCTTCTATATACTGTGTTCCTTCAGGATGTGGATGATCATGATTCTCCACAATTTCCTGTCTTTTGTAGCTCTTGTCACTATTTCTCCTAATCCCTGTTCTACTAACCATTTACACAAGCATATTAGATAAGGTTATGCGCTGTTTCACCCTCTCCTTTTGGCATTCAGTATGTCTTGTGAGTGTCAAATTTTCTAAGCCCTCTTTTCTTATCATGTTACCTAGGATTTCGGTGTCACATTTTCCGTCTTCTGTTCAAACACCTCCTAGATATGTACATTTTTGTACATGCTGGATTTGGCATCTCTATTTTGGAATTTGTATTTCGAGCTGTTTTCTTTTGCGGACAACCATGCATTCTGTCTTCTTGGAATTTGGTGTTTAGTCTTTTCTTCTCGCTTTCCTTTATTACCTACTCTACGAGTTCCTGTAGTTTTTCTTTCTGTTTCATCTCTGTATCTAATGTTAAAAATATGGCTGCCAATAATGAACCCTGACATGACTTCTAATTCTCCCAGAATTGTTTCACTGTAAAGTTTGAATAAGTCCGGTGAGACGACCCACCCTTGTCATAGGCCCATTCTATTTTTGTATATTTGTTGTATTCATTTTCTATCCGTATGTAGGTGGTTAGCTCCCAGTATAATTGTGGATAATTCTAATATCCTTCCCAAATAAATCAAGTTTACCTAGCAGTTCAAACAGTTGTTTGTGAAGTACTTTATTTATCAAATGCTTTGGCATCATTTATCCCTGATGCAAATTACCTGGCAGAGTAAAATCGAGTAAATAATAGAAACGATTCGAGAGACTTACCTTCGCTCTCCACAGGTTCCTTGCAAATGTCTTGTGTTTTGCTTGCCGGACAATCCCAGGATGCGTCTTCACGGCACTCACAGTTGAATTTAAAACAACCATCAGTGAAGGAAAATGGATGACCGAGTGGATAACGATGACCCCTCACACTACAAAACTTGGACGAACTTTGACCTGTATTTTTTGCCGGAACTACAATGACAGTAAAACGGAAATGAATTAGGAACAATGTGTACAGATATATTATAGGTGTGTTTTTGAGTAGTAACACTTCTCTAATACATGTTTCATTAAAATGACTGACAAAATACTTCTTTTAGATTCTTATTGAATTTGTCTTGTATACGAATAGGAGAGTTATTCTTTTTCTTTTAACTTAGTGTGTGTAGAAATTTTCCAAATAATTGTTCGTCCCGAGCGCTTCCGGTTAGTCACTTAGCCATTTTCAAGGATTTGGGTTGTAAATAGTGTGTAAGCCCTATTGGAAATGGTGTGCAAGTTTGTTAAAAGGTAGACGTATTTTTAACTCCCGAATAGCGCCAGTACATACTGGCCGTGTTCAGAGTTAATGTTGTTGGGAGTTAGTTCTCTTGCTTTTTCATTATGAATATTTTTAAAAATTATTTTCGGCGGTTTTTATTGTCCGAGATGGTTATTATATTTGTAATTTCGACGTGTATGCTGCAAACAGGAATTTGTAAATTTTCATTTTGATTCTTATATAGTATGGGTTCTTATATAGCTATGGTTCGAGACGTCGGAATGAACAATCATTTATACAATTTCTACATGCACTAAGCCCGAGAAAGAAATCTCTTGTTCGCACACAAGAAAAACGCAGTAATAAAGCTTAAAGGAAGTACAGTAGAATCCCTGAAAACCGGACTAAGGAGGCGTTCCGGATATGAGGAATTAGTTATAAAGTCCGGATATGAGCGGTTATATTTAGATTAAAATAAAAGAACTGAAATCAATTGCCCAAAGTAAATTTCCTGAAAAACAGAAATTTCCAATCAGTTACATATCACCCAAATAGTTCAAATATACACAGTAAAATCATGTCCGGATGTGCAGGATTCCGGATATGAGGGATTCCGGATATGAGAGATTCTACTCTATCTTGTCAGTCATTTTAATGAAACATGTATTAGACATATAATATAAACTACTCTTTGTAAAAATATGGAAAGAATGGTTGTTAGCAAAAGATGCAGCCCAAGGTGTGACTTACGTGTTGAAGACGTCAAAATCGAGCCAATGCGGACATTCAGTTACTTATGAAGATATGAAAGGATAGAAAGTGTCACATAGAAGTCCGAACCGCAGAGAAATAACGGGAGAAATGCTTTTCAGATAAAAAGTTATTAAGAGATCGAAGAATGGCGTTAAAACAAAGATTACTGAACTGCTATATATTGTCTACTTTCCTATTTGACAGTAAATGAAGGGCAGTTTTGTCAGAAAATGAAAAAATATAGTTCTATAGATGTGTGGAGCTTAGGGGTTTAAAACGAACAGGCAAGAAGATTAATGAAGGATCATAATGGCGAGGAAACACGCGGGTAATTTTAACAAAATAAGGTAAGGAATTTATTCACGAATTTACACGCTTGAAATACTGTCAGTAGTTTTAAAGAATTGTCATGAAGAGTCAATGTTCATACAACAGATTAAATTATCTGATACAAAATAATATTCAAATATGTTTAAGACAAAAATAAGAAAGTTCTTTGCTCACCGAAGAGATGTATGGTTTGCAGAATTTCAAAAGTAGACGAAGAGAGATAGTTTGAAATACTTAACTTTCTTGAGCTGTTGAGAAAAATACTTTAATTGATGAGTTATTTGACACTAACGAGAATTTCAATGTTGGTCGCAAGGAACTGAAACGATACCTTTCACATGACTTCAGACATCTTCTCTTGTTAATTTAATTTTTCGTCTCATTTTATATAAACAGAATTTCGCTTAGGCTCACTATTTTTTCTCCTTTTCGGCTGACCGGTTAATTTCTATGATGGCAAAGTTTTCATTGGTCTAAAAACAACTTCACATAGGCCCGCGAATTTCTTTCCCTCTTCTTCCTCAGCTCACCCGAATTTGAAGGCACAGGGAAGCTACATTATGGCGGTGATAAATTGGCTGAAGTTGACATATATTGCTGATTCTATTAAGAATCTCTAAGTATACAGCGGGAGTACCGGACCAGATGTGGCCGCAATATTGAAAGCATGGATGAATGGTAGACTTATAAATATGCAAGATAGATTCAATAGTAAAAAATTGTCTAGTACGACACAGTGAACCAAGTTTCTTAATCCCTGATTTTTTTTATAATCCTATAATTGATATCAATTTCCCATAAACCTCTAAGTAATAATAATAATATTTTTAGAAGCCTAGAATTAATAACGGATTTTTTATAAACCCATAATTAACACCAGATTATCATTCTAATTTTTATAATTAATACCAGACTTTATAGAGGATATAAATGGGTTAATGATATTCTTTACGTTTTCTTACTTATCGCTCAATCGATTTGATTAAACCTGTGATTTTAATAGCAAGGAATATTTCAATATTACTTTATTTTAATAGCAAGTAAATTTTGCGTGATGTTGACAGGTCCTATGCCTGACCTGTTTTGAATTCAGACTAGTTGCCAGCCAATACTATACAATCAGTCTTGACCAAGCAAAACAGATTGATTCATGCCTTTTCCAGGGTCATGCGATAACCTCTACTCTATGCGTACACACTTCTTCAGTTATATAGATTTCTATATCGCTTGATATTGAAAGCGACAACCAGATATCTGTTGGGAACATGCAAATAAATAAATAAGTAAAAATAATAAGAATAAGCGTAGATGTGGCACAAGGCCGAAAATGTGGAATACTCAGTGAGGATCGAACTCACTATTCAGTGGTAAGTGATCTAGCGAGACAAGCTTGCTAACCTCGTCGAGGTGCCTATAATCTGTAAAAGAATGATCTTCAACAGAAAAATCAACATTCTTTACCTAGTTTTCCAAGAACTTTCCCCCAAACAGATGAACTTCCCCAAAATAGAAATTATGATCTGGAATTGATATGAAAGTAAAGATGGCACAGTTTTTAAAAAATCATTTTACATGAAGCAAAGCAACGATAAGACGCAAGGGATTACTGAGTGTTAAAAGAAAAAGAAAAAAATATTAAGGTGATAGAATACTAAAAGAAGAAGAATTAAGAAGACAGAAGACAGATATAACATTTAAATCTTTTAAGATCAAATTTCACTGGAAAGCAAGAAACAGAAAGAGGATCCCACAATCAAGAAGTGCGAGAGAAGAAATTGTTAATATAGAACTTATGGTTAACAATTTAAACTCTAAAATGATGTGACCTTGCTGCTAATCTAGTACTACGCTTAAAGTCATAAAGTCTAGGTACCATAGAGGAAAGTTCATCGGAACAATTACCATGAAATTAGTTATAGAAAAGGCAAAGCGAAACTATGTTACGGCAGTGGAAAAGGGACTGAATTCAAGATGGCAGGTCAGGACTAATAACATTTCAGAATCTCTAAATGACAGTAAGTCAAAAATTATTCGCACTTTCTCCATAACATATCTTTAGGTTTGTCACACTTCATTCTGCTCATGCGTGCTTATAGTTGGTGCTATTGTGGTCACGTGATCGAAGTATGAGATTGACCGCGCCAGTTTTCTTCCTGCTTTTCTAGTGTAAACATGGCCCTTCCGCTATCAGTCGGGGAAGGCGTATGCACAGCGCCTAACTCATTCAGAAATGTCTAAAACTATCAGCTATATACAACCGTTTTCTCAGATCTATGATTTAAAATGGTTTCAGGCAAATGTGTCCTTTAGGCCAGTATTTTCCAGCATTTTTTTTCTTTTTGCTCATGGCCTGCTTTGAACCCCCAATTTTTCTGGGGCCCATGAAATTATTATATTGTAAAAATAACTTCCATTTTACATAGAATATATCCAGTTATAAAATTTCTGTGGCCTACCTAAAATTTGCCATGGCCAATTTGGGAAACAATGCTTTAGACCTTAAAGACAATCTTCGTCAGACCGTATAAATTGGCATCAAAAAATCAAAAAGAGCTTTTTCAAGTTATAAAAACGACATCACTTGAAGATTTCCAACAGCAGCAAAAACAAAAATGGATATCACATGTAACTTGATAGAAAATAATGATATAAACAATACTGTTGACTTTCCAGACTAAAATAAACAAAAGATATGAAAGGAAACTGCCAACAATAGAAACAGCAGTTACAGTGCACTATGGAAGTTTGCTTTCCTTAAAACTCTTTTAAGAAAAAGATTTTATAAATTTCAACCGACAGTAACGATAACTGCTAAATGTTTCCTGTCTGAAAATGGCTAATGTTACCATTGGTATTTATTTTCATCTATCGTATGACCTTGGAACAAATTTCATGACTGATTACTTTATTCGGTCACCTTTCTACTGTTTTCAACTGTGTGCCCAACGTCTTAAGATATAATGGCGTCAGTGACGTCACAACCTTTATTGTATTGTAGTTGTTTCAGCCATAATTCGGAGAGTTACATTTTTTTTCGCTTCATTTATATGTAAAAGAATTAAATAAAAGAGGACAACACTGCTTTCTTCCGAATGATGTTTTATTTCACTTTTCATTTTAAACTCAAATGTAAACGATCATCTACTTTCGAATTGTATTTTGATTTTAAATCCACTCAAATAATGTACTTCTATTAAAATAGTATCTTTTTTGGTCATATTCTCTCACACTCAGTAACACCTTGCGTCTTAGTGGCTTTATTACCTTGGTTACGGTGAAATGATTAAAACTAATAATTTCTTTGTTTTAATTCTAAAAACAAAATAACAGTGATATTTTTTTTCAATAATTTGACTCTAAGCAATGCAATAAAGGCCACTAGAATTGAAGGGATTACTGAGAAACAGAGAAACAAAAATAGGAATGAGGGAGACAGAAGATAACGATTGTCATTACATTTAAATTGTTGAAAAACTATCAGGTGTTTTGATTGTAAATACAAATTTGCAATTATGTAATGTCTTTTATAATATATTCTTCTTTTCTGCCAATTTTAAATAGAAATTCACATTTTTTGAATGTCTTTCAAAATCTTTTTTTGTTTGTTAATTTTAAATACAAAATAACA